AGAAAGAGAGAGAGAGAGAGAGGGAGGTCTTACGTGCACAAGCAAGAGGAGAGGCAGAGGGAGAAGCAAGCTCCCGGCTTTGAACAGGGAGCCCGAGGCAGGACTCCATCCCAGAATCCTGGGATCATGAATTGAGCTGAAGACATACGCCCAACTGACTGAGCCCCATAGGCACCCCTAACTATAACTTCAAAAGCATGATTTCTGTCCCCGCTGCTCTAAGAGGCTCACTCCCAGATTATAAAGCCCACATTTTGTGGGCTGCCTGTGTTTACATCTTTGGCAAACAGCTCTGCATGATCTTCTGAGGACATGTACACACATTTCTAGCCTTAAAATCTTTAGCAAAGCAAGAGAACATGAGAGACTAACCCGTCTGGACCATAAGAAAAAAGCACATTTAAATTTTATGTATTGTGCTATTCTACCGAATGCGTCTGGCCTATCGACCTGGTAGGTCTTGGGAAGGAAAATGTCTCTCACGTTCCAGATCTCCTCATGGAAACGGCAGAGACCGTGGAATTTGTCCTTCTCACCAGAAAGCCAACTCACGGCCTCCCACGTCCCTAGAAACAAAACACAGAGCTCCATACCAGCTCTCCGGTCCCTCAGATGCCTGCTCTCGGCCCCAACAGGTTGGCAGGAGGCGTGGTGGTGCTGGTTTTTGTTCAGGTCAAGTAAAGGAGGATCTGAAAACGCCTCCCAGAGGCGAGGCGACAGAAAGCTTCCCGCCAGTGCCACAGGGCCCAGCGGCTGCCTGCCCGGTCCTGACACACCCACGCTCTGCCCCCCAGCTCCGAGGAGAGGCTTTCTGTGCATTTCCATAATTACAGACTGAGGGAGGCTTCCTCGTTCAGCCTTATCAAGCAAGCCAAAAGAGGAATTTCTATGAAAATATGTAAATACTGTAATTGAGTTTGGGATATTTTGCATGAACTACAGATGTCTCGAGATAGAATTTTCCTTCTAGCTCATTCACTTTCGTTAGAAACACTTCATTTTCCCAAAAAAGAAACACTCCTAAAAGGAAGAGCATATCTTATTGCTAACACAGAATTCCAAAACACACGCACACCCCCGAGAACCACAGTCCAAGAACGTCTGCCCAACAGGGATCCTGTCCTGTAACGCAGACCTTCTAGGGCGACCTCTGACTGTGCCCATTACACCGTCCTCTTGTCGAGGCCAAGCAAGGACTCAGGACAACAACACTCACTCCAACAGCCCAGAAGTCGCTAAGATTAAACTGAGGAGCATTTGGGGAGGAGAGATGACCCATGTGCTCCTACGGAATGACAGAGGGCACGGGACGGACAGCTGCAGAACGTTCCTCCCTGAGAAACACAGAAAGGCAGCTTCCTCCACATGGCTCCAAGCCTGTTCACTGAAGCAGTTCCTGGACCAGAAAAAGTCCAAACGAGGATGTCCAGCTGTGGATTCGAGGTTGGACGTCTCACACGATCCCACAGCACCATGACAGCAGGTCTCTGTGAAGAGTGGCAGGTGCTTCAGGGCGGAGAATGCATGGACACTGCCAAGCGGACATCCATCGCCCCCTTGGGCACCACCAGCACCTTCTGTGACAGCCCTGACCTCCATGGTTCCCACGCAGGATGCATGTTTCTCAGTTATTAGGATCTAAGATTTAAAATACTTACAAACTGCACTCAAGATCGGAGAGCAAAAGTCAAGGCTTTCTTCCCTTCTCTTGAATCAAAAAAGAAATCAACCCACCAGCCACTGGTTGCAGAGGAAGGTGGAGGTAGACCTGAGAGGCCCGACCCCGCAGCCCCAGGACCCCACGCAGCCAGGGAGCTCCGGGCATCAGCCCTGGAAAGGGCCAAGGGGTGGCTTCCTCCAGAGTCTGGGAACACCACTCCCTCTCGAGCAGCACAAAGCCCTAAGTTCACGGTCAGCAGCTTGATCCGGGGGAAGGAGCCAGGGCTGTGAACACCGCCCACACCACTTAGCAGCTGAAACAATGCCAGGCTTTAACACAGCTTTCTCCTGAACGCCTATCCCTCCCGGCACACATCTCAGGGAAGCTCCCCTCCTACCCCTGCCAAGATTCAGGGAACAAAGTCCCTGCCTCCTGCAGAGCCTCTCAGGGCTGCTCCGGGCACGGTGTCAGTCCTTCATGGGTCCCGTCAGCCAATCCCCACCATGAGCACAGACACCGCCAGACTCGCGGGCACGCAGGGCCAGGGAAGCTCGGAGCCACCTGGCACCTGACGCCAGGGCACGCAGGACAGACCACGTATGCCCCTGAGCTCACCCTGGGGGGTAGGGGAGACCAAGGAAAATCCCAAGTTGACATTTCTCATCTAAAATTTAATGAAGCTAATTTAAAATACCTTTAATGTTTCAAAAAGGGACTTGCAATTTCCATGGGTGTGACCACAGGCACAGAAGGTTTGAAGGTTTAAGAACCAATGTTAAGCTGCCTGAGGCACGTGCACCACGGCGGTTAGCCAAAGACCTCTCTTTCCAGCCTCTGCAGACCAGCACCAAAACCCTCGTGCCAGCTGGGGGACTCAGTACCCCGCACTGTAGACTCCTCCTCCTCCAAGCATCATTTCTTGCGGAGTCCAAAGGACCAGCGGCGTGCTTTCCTGCTCATTCTATGCCTTCTCGGAAGAACCACCCCTTATGAAAACAAACCGAACCATGAACATTATTCACTGTTAGTGATTCCTTCCTCACATATTTAAAAAGTTCTGTTACCCACTGCTAAAGAGATCATTCTCGGAGGTGAAGGGGAAAGAGTCAAATTTACACATGACGAATGTGGAAGTTGCCATCTGTATACAGACTTTCCATTTACGGCGCAAACACAAACTTAGTCCACTAATGAAATACGTGAGCTTTCCCAACAGCTGTCACTAAAACAGAGTTGTGTTCTCTCGTGTCTAGAGGCTGGTGCCCTTGGTGCAGAGACTTCAGTTTCTGGAGTTTCCGGGCCATAGACTCCTGTCATAATTCAAAGTCTTCGCAGCTATGATTTGTTCAGACTTAACGGAAATAACCAATACATATGGCCATCATTCCTTCACATCCCAAGTCACTGGGACAAATTCACAGATTTACCCTCTCATAAAAATGGTTACCTTATAAGGAAAAACTGCTTAGAAAGGTGGGTGAATTCACACAGCTTGTACACAAGCAGTGTGTGAATGAGTGTCCTTCCTGGAAGACCCCGGCCAGCCCTGTTGTCCCTGGGCCGCAGAGCCCCGGCCGCCCGATGTTTGCTGTTGTAGCTGTTTCTTTTCTAATCAGTCTTAGACTTAAGTTGAAGGCTTTACTTTTCTAATATTATTAGGATGTAAAAAAATCTCTTCTCAAAAACTCTCTAGAATCAACCTAACGAGGACAGAGGAAGCCTATGGCCCGTCTGGATGTTGGGCCCCCACGGTGCTCAGTCACGGAAATGTCCTTCCCAGGAGGGCTGCCCACTCCAGCGTCTTCGCTAAGTGTGCTCAGACGCCAGAGAAGGCTACTCGTGTAAGAGCCAGCGTTCTTCACTTCGCACGGCACCGAAGGCACCTAGAACAACTCCGTTCACTTATATTCACAGGTTCTAACACATGCTTCGGGTTCTGACAACTTCAAAAGCATCCGCGTATAAATACTAAGTGGGTTTTCAGTCACAAGTCAGAGGTATTAACCATCAGCCCTTTGGACGCACTCTGGGACCCCTTTCTCATCCCTCAGAGTTCTGAGGAGACGTATGGACACAAATTCGTCTTAACAACAACAGGTTTGGGGTTTTGAAGTAAACGTCTTGAGGAAACAGGATTAGAGGACAGAGACATGAAGGAGCAAGAACCCTGAAAGCGTCCTTCCACACAGAGCGCTTCCTGTGGTGCCGTTTCCATGCTGCCCATCGACAGACTTTAAAGATGATGGGGTTAAAACGTTATGACACAGCACTCCTGTGTCAACTGTGCTCTGCAGGGTAACACTTAGAACTGATAGGCCAGCTCTTCACGGCACTTGAAGTACAGAGAGAACTTAGGAGACACAGAAGTTGTGGTTAGGCAAGTTGAAAAGGTTGCAATCTGTTACTTAATTCACTTTTTTTTCTTTTTTAAAGATTTTATTTATCTATGAGAGAGAGGGCAGAGGGAGAGGGACAAGCAGACTCCATGTTGAGTGTAGACCCCACGTAGGGCTCGATCCCATAACCCCAAGATCATGGCCTGAGCTAAAAGCAAGAGCTGGTCACTCAACCAACTGGGCCACCCAGGCACTCCATGTTGCTGAATTCATTTCCGAACAGGAAGCAACTTCTAGTTTGTGGGTGAACATTGTGATTTATACATGAAGGGAAGCAAGAGTCAGAGACGGCTGACATTGTTGGAACGGTAGACCACTGGTGAGATGGCTGCAGGTGCCCAGGAGAAGTGGTGAGGAGGACAGAGAGAAACCCGGGGTGTGGAGGAGGAGGAGAGACGGGATTACTGGACCTCTCATGAAGACATCAGTTTAACAACAGACTCAAAATCAGTATGGCGTGAAGTCAGACAGTGTCCCTGCTCGCACGAAGGGCCATGACATTGGCGTGCGAAAACCACCATAGATCGGACTTCACTACGCTTAAAATTCAGGGCTTGGAAGGCCTTCCCCCCCCCACAAACCACATAAAGGGAAACGGTGACTGTGTGAGTTTCAGCATCTACGCCACAGAACAAAACAGTAAAATTAAACCTTTGTCGCTCTCTCAACAGGAAGAGTAAGCCATTGCACTGAGGCGGGCCGAGGGGAGACAGAGAGCGGGGACACACGACAGCCATTTCAAACCAACAGGAGACGACCAATCACGTCTTCCCTCTTTCTGTGTTACTCAGCATTTTCGACTTGGGAAATCTGGGAGGAACGGTGACGAGCTGTGTAGGCTTTAGGCAGTGAAGTCACGGGCTTTGCACACTCAACAGGACTTATTTTAGAGCCGACAGATTATTTCACCTAAAGTGTCACAAACAAGCCACATGTATATACTGCAAGTTTATTTCAATCACACAAACAAAGTTAGCGTGTAGGAAATTGAAATGAAACAGTACGGTAAAAATAGCAGAGAACCGAACAATTGAAAAAGGAAGCACACCTAAAGCATGAGAGTCCAACATTCATCAGTGTTTCATCTTCAGTTCGGACTGACGCGTGAGGCTTGCAAACTGCGGACAAACCGGGAAACCATGACGACTACTTGGGGGAGATGTCAGCACCGCGTTAAAATGTGTACATTCAGTTGGTTTGCAATGGGCTGCTGGCCATGTACAGAGCATGTAGGACAGATTTGTCACGGGTCACATCACAGTGTTGAGGAAAGAAGCGCCTTCCTGTCGTCAGAAAGGACCCCCTGAACTGCACGCAGCTTCGGACACCCAGTGAGCACAGCACGATCACCGTGGGCACGACGGGCTCCAGGGAACGTCACCTCACTAAGGAAAGTCACTTAGGCTTCTGCTTCCCATCTTAATTACCGAAATCTCTAACGATGACAAAAACTGTCCCGCAGGACAGCCAACATGTACAGTGATTGGGAAGAACACGTTGAGTGATCCGGGCGAACGCACACGGATGGACCGCGATGTGACCCAGCACTGGCTCTGTCCCGTCACAAACATCCTGGGAGGACTGGACCAAGGCACGAGACAGCGAGCGCAGACGGCAGCCCCTCACGAAGGTCCAGCGTGCGGCTCTAGTCTCTTCTCCGACTTTGGACCACTTGTACCCAGTACTCTAACCTACCAGAGACTAACTTCACTGACAAAAATCAAGTGATTGCTCACCTGATTTATAGGGGACAGGAGTGTCTACACCATCCAAGTGTTTGTATAACCAAAAGGACAAAAATAAAGATCAAAGTGCCTCTGCTTTCTTCTAGAAGACAGTACGTTAGAGGCTGGCTGCAGCTTGAATGCCTTTCCTACTGCTGCCTGACGATGAGCGGTTGACAGAGAACTGCACAGCTGAATTAGGATAGCTCATCCATCACAGATTAATCTAAAACTGAACTCTCTACAGAAACAGGAACTATTTAACAAGGAAAACAATTTCCTCACTCAAACCCTTTTGAATGGTAAACTATGCTACCGACAAGCTCTGTCTGACCGAATGAGGTTACAAAATCTAGAAAGCAGATGAAAATGGATTATTTCTTCAAAATTTTAGTAAAAACTTCAGATAATCAAAGATTTCAAAGCAAATATGGCACATAACTGAAGCATAAATCAAGATGGAGAGCCTGGAGAATTTGTGATTTCCTAAATTAAGAAAAAAAAATCTATCATTGCAACATATAGGATTTCTCCCCTATTTTAATCTTCGCGAGTTTCCAGGAGAAGGGCATGGGTACGCCCACACACACCCGCGTGGGGGTGAGCGGGGGTCTAGGTCCTTCTTTTCACCACCTGAGTCTCGCTCGGTCACAACAAGACAACCACACAGAGCCCCTCACTGGTCCCCTCTGCTGCATGGTGTCCGTGACCTCAGTTTCTGCGGACATCAACTACTTCATGTGTTTCCACGTAACAAAATTCAAAAGCAGCTTCTCGGTCAGGAACACATACCTGTCCAACTGCAGGGCACCTAGGTAGTAAAGCAACTGCCAAATTCAGGGATCGGATATTCGAGTTCCGCAGTACGACGTAATCCCTGGGAAGCTCAGAATCATGTTTCAGACCATTGAAATTACTCAAGTTAAAATACGAACAGCTGAACACATGATGTAAAAGATTGAGTACTTGGTTCTGCTAACATATTTACCAATTAAAGTCACAAAATAGTCCTCATTATTATTCATGCAGGTAATTGAGAAAAAAAAGTGCAGAAATTAACTTTAAAAGAAAAATTATTCCTTCCCTTCCTCCCGCCTCCCCCATACTCTACAAAAGGTTTTCCCTGGGACCAGGCCTTGAAAAGGCCGCTACGTATTAGTGGGACATGCATTACTGTCTGCAATTAAAAAAGCTAATTTTGTGGTGGTTGTAATTACATTATAAAAATGTCCACATGCATAAATCTAAAAAAGGTTGAAAACCTACAGTAAGTCTACAATATATTGTTTTACATTTGACCACTGGTGTGTTATGTAGGAGTCATAGATTTTGGTAAAGCATTTTAACAATTTAGGAAGGCATCTAAATCTTTAAATTCTGGACGAATTTTATGTTTTAATCTACAAAATTGCATGAAGGCTAACTCGAGAGACTTCCTATCATTCTAAAATTCCTCAAGCCAGACAAACCATTTTTAGGACACTTTCTTATAAATATCACCCTTGGAAAGCACATACAATTCCATTTGTTCCACATTTTAGGATCTTAACCTACACAGGGCTGATCTCCATCCCTCACGGAATATCAAATGTGATAGGAAGACAAACCTGAGAGAAACATTTACAATACAATTGTGTAACTTGCTCCTTTCTTCGTCAGCACTCTCTGAAAACAAACTTCTTAAGCCTTTCTCCTCTTTATTTTAGCAATGGATTGTGAAAAACGTGCGATTTTGTCTTGACATGAAAATATTTCAATGCACGGCGATCTTGCCTGATAGGTTTAGTATTTTCTGCATAACTATGAAACAGGAATTCATATCCGACTCTTTCATCCTGTTGAAAAGGTCAGAAAAAAGCAGCAAACTGGGAGGGAAATAGCTTATCGCCAGAATAACGCGTCTGAAGGCTCGTGAGGATGTTGGTTTTCCTCTTCCGACTGTTTGTCTCCACTTTCTTCTCGCAGCTCACAAATGTAGGGGTTTGTTGTTAACAGCTGTGGTTCGCAGGGCTCTTTCTCCAGACTAGAGTCCTATTCCTCCTCGGTTCGTCTCTCTACGCAGAATTGGACTTGCTCAGTTCTTGCCTGATCGCTGGGCATGAAAAGGAAACGTATTTCAAGTAAATACAATGGTGAGGTAAAATCAGTGAGAGATTCCTTCTAAGAAACCTCAGTGGCTGTCTGCAAACTCCCAGTAACAGAGAGCCAAGCAGACCCTGCATCTGCTGCTGCACAGACTTTGCTTTTCTTTTCTTTTTTTTTTTTTTAAAGATATTATTTATTTGACAGAGAGAGATCACAAGTAGGCAGAGAGGCAGGCAGAGAGAGAGGAGGAAGCAGGCTCCCCGCTGAGCAGAGAGCCAGATGTGGGGCTCGATCCCAGGACCCTGAGATCATGACCTGAGCTGAAGGCAGAGGCTTAACCCACTGAGCCACCCAGGCGGCCCCAGACTTTGCTTTTCTTAACACAGAGACGGTACTAGCTTGTGTGCACAGACACACACACACACGCACATGCACACGCTCATTCGCACTCTCCCTTTCGTGTCCACAATGATAACACGGACGTTGTGGGCTCAGAGTCCATAGAGAAGGCAGCAGGTTGGGATGTGAGGCCAGAGACGGGCCCCTCTGCCTGGACTTTGTTCTGATGTTAATCAACCCCTGTCACGTAGGGACCTCGTTTAATCCCAATTTTTACAAATAACTTCCACCGTAAGAAGGAGAGGGCTCCTTTCTGACATCCTAAGCCATGTGAAGGGCAGGATACTATGCAAAATTGTTTTATGCCCTCCAGTAATAAACTGGTTATTTTTTATGTGCATTTCCTTAAAAATGGGTATTCTCCAACATTATAGAGTCAGCAAAGCTGTTTATATACTCACCATCAATGAGCTCTTCTTTTAGCTTTGTTAATTCTTTTCTCATTTCATCTAAAATGTCCTAAAATATTAGAGAAAAACATCAGAAATACAGGGAGAAAAAATTACTGCTACAAATATTCTTGCTCATATAGAATTTTAAGAATGCATGAAGTCTGCTGTATGGTTTCTGTTGCCGGACTCCCTCCCAGACAAGGCTAAGCGCAGCCGGGCAACTCCTGTTTTAACAGTCTTCCCAGTCTTCACTTATTTCAGCCTAGCGAAACGGGAAACATTACAGTGCTTTCTAACACTAAAAATAATTCTGTCATCCAGAGAAAGGTAGGCTTCAGGTCATTTCTAGAAAAGATAATAGGCTCTGCTTTTAACCTTGTCTTCTGGGAGCAGCATGGAAGATGGTGCGTAGGGCAATTTCAGGGAACAGGAGATGTAAACCAGATAAGCAGATCCTGGCCTGTGTGTGATCCAGTTTGAAGTATGGGGTTCCTTAGGAATCGCACTATGGCTGCCAAACCTTCCTTCAAGGAATCCGAGACTCCCCTGGAGCTGCCTCACGGGCTGCCCTACTTGGCAGAGGCGAGGGTGGATAGGCCCCACCTGGATCTATGTGGTCTGACAGGGCGGACGCAGGCACATGCAGCCTCTGAGCACTGGAGATGTGGCCAGTGTGAAATGGGATGCGTTGCCAGGGTAAAACACACACCAGATATCAAAAACTTAGCGCATTAAGAAAATAACGTGTAATAATTCTTTAGTAATGTTAAAATATTGATTACATACTGAAATACTAATTTAGTTACATTAAATTAAATTAAATACATTAAAATGAATTTCACCTATTTCTCCTTACTTAGTTAATATGGCTATCAGAAATTTTAAAGTACTTGTGTGAGCCCTGTTTGTATTTTGATTTAATACTGTTGTTCTAGATGCTTCTTCCTCCATGAAGACCACTCCACCTTCAAATATTTCGCAAAATCTGTATTTATAAGTTCACTTTGAAATAACGGACCATCACCCCACCCCCACCCAAACTTAAAAAAATCATTGAGAACAGGGGCTCCTGGTGGCTGAGTCAGTGGAGTGTCTGACTCTGATTTCAGCTCGGGTCACGGTCTCAGCATTGTGAGATCGAGCCCTGCGCCCGGCTCCGGGCTGGGCATGAAGCCTGCTTAGTAATTCCTCTCCCTCTGCCCCTCCCCTCCCCAAATTGCCAAGAACAGTGTCACATGCCAGCTGAAAGGGCTCCGACACGGTGACGCAGTTTGAAGAGTAACACCTACCCTTTGAATGATTAGTTTTCATTATGGGACCTTTTCTAATACTGCACACCTCAGGTAAAATTAAATTGCTCTAGTTTAAGGTTCATTTTCTTAAAAAGCTTTTCATGTTTAAAATAAGGTTGAAATTACCAATTAGTATAATAACTCCTCCACTTTACCAATGAGGAAACAAGCACAGAAATTATTAGTACAGACTATCAGATATCCTTACTCAAATTATAGTAAAATCAGCCCCAACAGGAAACCTTTCCTCTCTTCTCCACTATTTCAGATAGCCAAAAATTTACCACGTGTTCAAGTGTGTGCAAGCATCTACTTTAAAGTGTTTTTAAGAAAAGAAAGCCATGTTTAATATACAGGAAAATTAGGGCTTGATCATCAATGACCTCAAGCTTCCTTTTCAAACTATGTAACTCAAGTTAACTTTTCTAATAGTTTTGCAACATAAAAATCAGATTTATCTGAAACTGGCTTTGAGGAACGATTTGGGCTCTGATCCTGACTCAGCTGCTGACCCAGCCATGGGACCGAGCCAGGTAACTCCTCGGAATCTCAGACACCAAGTCTGAGTCTACACACTATCCCACAGGCCTCCCACGAGGACCAGAAGACAGCACCATACTAAGAGCCCTGCTGGCGCCTGGCCCGCACATCTACCAGCAGGTCAGTCTGAGGCTATGACAAGGACTTGGTGTGGTCACTGCTCTCAGAGGCCCCCAGGGGTGTGGGGCAGGAAGACCAAGGAGACAAGACCCTGCTGGTGGCAGCAACTCCGGGTTCCGGTCCGTGAAACTGACCATTGTCTAAGGTGTGTACACGGGCCCTCCTTTAAATTTTTCTTAACACTACCAATTTTTTTAAATTGTTTTACCTCTCCTGGGAATTAAATATTTTAAAGCCCCACAGCTCTTCTAACCTATCAGTCCTTCCCCTTTCTTGTTTGAGTACCTATGTGTATAATGCAGAGGTATCCAAAATATGGACAAGATCCTTTTCTTTTTCAGAAAGTTGAGAGAATTGTTCATACTGTTTCGTTACCTATCTCTCTCACCTAGCTGGGCGAGTGCTCACCATTCAGTACATAACACGCTCATTTTTGATTCCTTAATGACCACTGGCCCCTGCCCGACACTATAGAGTTATATACTTCTACAATATTTTCTTAGCATAAATTCTTGGAAGTGAAATTATTTGGTTCAAAGGTAAAATATTTATTTTTAAGGCTTGTGATCTGTTTTCCTAACCGCTTCCTAGAAAATAAAAGTATCTGAGAATCCCCATTTCCCCGACATTCTTGCCAAAACCAGATTCACTGGGTCCCTTTTTGCCAATGGTAAATGAAAAGTGCAACCCCATTTTCCTTTACAAATACATACCACGCGCTGACACTGAAAGCTGACGTTACGCCATTAAGACACCTGCCCCACCCTCCACCACTGCTGGAACTTTATGTGAACACACTGAACCAAAAAAACGAAGATTTGAAAAAAACAATTTGGTACTCATGTTGCTGTTTCCTTTGTACAGAAAGATCTAAACTCTATTTCCCAGTATATTCACCATCCGTCAAATGCCAGCACAGCAGACATTTTTACAGAGAAAGCAGTGCACGCGGCGGGAAAGGGAGGGAAAGCTACCGTCAGGCGCCTACCTGCTTCAGCCTGTCGTAGTCTAGCCCCTCCGTCTGGACGCCGTTGGCACTGGGCTGTGATGAAGGTGCAGATTTTGGTCTGTACAAATGGAATTTCCAGGACAGGTAAAAAATACTTGGGATGTTTAAGGAGTTCACAAAAAATTGCAAATTTATCAACCCAACATCAGATTTCGGTACTTTTCTTAAAACACAGATATTAAAAAGTTAACTGTCAAAGTTGCAGGACTGATTAGAACAGAAAATAGGAAGCATTTTTCACTTTGCTCAGTGTTTCCATTTCTTTGTAAAGAAATCAGACAATGGTGACAGGATGACGGTGTTCCTTCCGCAAAGGGCAGAGGAACACGTTCTCTGCGTAAGAGATGGGAAACGGGGCCGTCTGCAGCACAATGACCAGGATTGGACACGCCAGATGAGCTGCGACATCGAGGCCCGGGGAACACAATCTCATTCTTCTGAAAGTGTGCAAACCAACCACCAAGATGCATCAGTTTACAAATCCGATGGTTTATAGAAAAAGCCACTTTAGTAATAAGCACATGATCTGTTCCATGTGTTTCATGCCATTTCAAGCATCCAAATAAATAAGAATGATGGGGAAATAATTAAAAGATTCATATCCAGTTGGCTATGTGGCTGTTTCCAAACAAGTTTTTATGGAGATGCTATCTGAACAAGTTTCCAACTACTTACACAAACTTATTTTGCCTTAAAAAAAAAAAAAAAATAGGGCAGTGCCTGGGTGACTCAGTCAGTTAAGCGTCTGACTCTTGGGTTTCAGCTGGGGTCATGATCTCAGGGTCGAAGGACTGAGCTCCACGTGGGGCTCCACACACCATCGGGAATCTGCTTGGGATTCTCTCTCTCCCCCTCTCCCTCTGCCCCTCCACCAGGAGCACTCTCTCCCTCTCAAATAAATAAATCCTTAAAAAAAAGAAATGCCACACAGATGCAGTTTGCCAATTATTACTACACGCTCAGAAATTTAGCCTCTCTTAAAAATTCAACATGAAGAAATAAGTCTTAGAAATTAGGTATGCCTTAAGCACAAGCTTCAGTATCAAATAAACCAGTCATGGCTCCTCTCCCATTCCAGCAAGTAGAGAAAATCCCAGCGGAAAATCTAGAGTCTTAACTGGGGACTCCTCTAACATTCTGGTTTAATACTATTAAGTGGCCACAATTTGAGGACCACAACTCAGTGCAGATGAAAACTATCAGCTGAGTCATGGATCTTCAAGTTTGCAGAGGACCAACGTCACAAATCTAAACCAAAACTGGTATGCACAGTAACTTCTCAAAGTTATGACTTCATAACTCTTAAAGGCATATTATGCTCCAAACCCACAGGCATTGCTGGGGAAGATGAAATAGTAAGTTAATTTGCTTTCATATCAAACATAACAGCTTAACATGTTGTTATATAAAGCAAGTCGATCAATTTCATTTTATGAGACCTCGGCTGCTCTGCTTGGACAAACCAGGGAAACCAGCTTTCAGAAAACTTCATTCAGTAAGCCTGAGCGAGGCACTAGGACAAAAGAACACTTACTCCCAGGACGTATTTCCTTTCCGCTTTGCGGAGGGGACTGCTGCACCCCCTGGTCACAGAGGAGGCACTGAAGGCCCCGGCAGGCAAGGCAGGCACTGTGGCCACAGGCCGGTCTGGGGAACACCCCTGACGGTCCATACACTGCATTTCAGTCACCCACACTGCCTGGCCCTGCTCGCCAGACTCACACTCTTCATTACTTAGCTTCTCTCTCACTTTTCACATTTAAGTGGTAAAATCAGTGAACACTTTTCTCCTAAGTTATATAATGAGTATTCCCAACGTTCACATGAGTATCTACAGTATGCTAAAGTTAACCGGGCAGTGTGTTATGAATATATCTGTACTTATTAAAAACACATTACTGTTCCATAATAAACGATCGAGGAAACATGCAATTAAGAAATTTTAATTCATGCTAACATGCAATCCACCACCATCACCATGATGATTAACTAAAGGGGGGAACTTTTCATACTGAAGGAAAGAAGTAATCACCACTCTTTTAAAAAAGGTTTATCAACGTTATCCTATCAAGGGGCCCTAGTGGGAAAGCAGCAAAAAAACTGAGAAGATTAACAGAAGATCTCATTAAATGCTATTTTCCTATGTACTAGCAAATTTTCTAAGTAAGTCTTCTGGTGACAGTGATTAAACTACATTGAGAAAAGCAGGAAAATTATTTCATGCTTGTAATATAAACATTTTATACAGATTCCACTGACTGGCAAACTTACCAAATATTTTTATCATCAATAGCATGAAAATAATTTGGCCAAATACAGTCTGCAGAACTCCTGACTCACTGCCATAGGCACCCCTCCATATACTGTTTAAGTCATGTTCCTAGTAGACTTTCACTACTTTCACTTGCACAGGATAATATGGGCGTACCTCGGTTATTTATCATCTATGGGTTTTCACCACAACTGACAACAAAGTATGAGGCCTTCCCAGAGGTTACTGTGTTACCTTGAAACAGCTGCCTAATAACTACCACAATATTTAAAGTCCCTGTTCTGCCAAATCAATTCTAAATATAAGCTTGAACACTTGAGGAGTTTTAAAAAATTGTCAATTTCTTTAGTTAAGAAATACGTGGTTCTTAATTTTAATTTAAAAAAAAAAAAAAAAAAAAGGTGTCACAGGACTCGTCCTAGAAAACCAGCTGCCCAGGATGGGAGACGTCAGATTGGGAAAGGCACGTAACCTGCCCCCAAATGCGGACAGGCCGGGGATGTTCCTCCAGGAATACGCTTCTCACAAGTGCAGCTGTGATGTAGTCCCGTGTTCCATGAACTTCCAGTACGAGTCTCCTACTCTACCTTTTAAAGGCTGTCTCAAGCTTCTAAGAAGAAAAGCCTTTAGAGGAAAATGCAACAGCTACAGAGGGCCTAGAGAAGACACAGGCGGCCTCATACGCCACTCCAGCCTTGCTGGGGTATATGCTGTTCATATGTATCCTGATCCAACTAGGGAATCAAGGCAGGAGAATAAACCCTATTAACTTTCCTAATCAAAATCTCTTCGTGTTTTTTAAAAAGTGCTCTAAATAAAGCTAAATACAAAAGATTTGCTCTTCCTCAAGTCATCTCCCTCGTGGTGATTACCAATCCAGGTAGAAAAAGCTCAGCCCTATCCTGAACATGTTATTCCGAAGTCTCAAACCACAAAGTCACACCAGGATGATACCTGTGTAATGAATCATAGGACCTGTTGTCAAAAACAATCTGATTTTTCCTTGGAGAATCCCGTCTATGAAGGGGAAAAAACCATTTAAAGGGAAACACAATAGAACTTTTAAAAAATAATGCGCACTATGTTCCTGTTTTATAGATTTGTAGTCAGAGCCGAACAATGAAAGGAGTCCATTAACCTTAAAATGATAGTTTTTTTTCCCAATATGAAAGGAGGTACTCGGACACTAATTCTAGTTATGTAACATACTCGTTTGACAGCTGCAGAGAACGAAAAGTAAATCGTGGTGCGTTTGCGATGACCACCTTTAGAGAGTGCACACATAGTAAAGGCTACTCCACAAGGTACCAACAAGTACCGAAACACAGTAGAAATCACTGTAGCCTTAAGTTCGCAAAATTAACTCTTCTCAGAAAGCAAGCATGTGAACTCTCTTTCTACCTTGAATATAAGACCTGTGAGCTCTTACTGAAAACCGTATAACTTACAAATTTATCAATGGGACATTCTAGTCATAGTTTAAGGTAATTTTAACAACATTTTTGCTTTTACCCCACTACATGGCATCTTCACTGAATAAATACGGCACAGTGCAGCACCTCACGTGCATGACCGGAGTCAATCCATCCCACCCTAACACAACCTCGACATGGACGTTTGTAAGAGAAAGGGGTTCTTTCCCCACCACGCAAGGATGAGGTGCACATCAAGTGGCCATATTAATACAATGGTTCTCAGCAGGAATGGGGGAGAAAAGTTGGGAAGAAAAGCCATACAGTTTAGTCCTTCTAACATACTTGCGAAATCTTTTTGGCTTAAAACCGCTTGGCGTGAAATTTTAAGACATGTATCACTGGCTGGCTCAAATCTATCAAAAAGTGTATGAGTGGTCAGAAAACGACCGGGCGTTTCCAAATTTCCATTTCAGGAAAGGTGAAGAAAACCAACCTACCAGAGCAGAACACCATTATGATACACTGCTAGATAATAAGAACCAATACTCGGTTAATCTACAGAAAAGTCCTAAAAACGAAAAGGTGACTTTCAGAACACTTATCAAACTTCCTTTAGAAGTCTGAATAATCTTTTAAAGACTATTTTTTAAATGAACCTAAACACATCAAGGAACTTTTATTCCACTTGGGAGAACCCACTTCATGTCCCTCCATGGACTTAGGGTTTGCTCAGGCTCACCACAGAACCCCTATCAGTAAGGTACAGATGAAGAGTAGACATAAACAGGAAGATTCTTCCCTGTCCCATTTCTGTCTTCAAAAGATACATGGGACATCACAGTTCTGTGCTCTGATATGTACTTGATAAATCAGGCTTCAAAATGTGCTAGTGGAGAAAATCTATAAAAACTACCAGAGACACACTGGGAGGCCACATCAATCAGGTATCTGATAAACGTAAATGTGTAATTTTCTACTCTGTTGAAACCATGTCCACCAAAAGCAATTCTTGCATTTTCTCCTAAAATAAAATACATTCATCTTATAGTCACAGAGAAACTAAAAGCTTCTACACGGTTGAAAAGGCTTTGAGGAACTTAAGAAACTGTGCTATCACCAAATCCTTCCTACCAGCACAAAGAACCACATAAAAAAAAGTCCAAATTTAGATTTAGGCTAACATTGAACAGATTTGTGACAATGTGAGGTCTATCCTTGTTTTTTATTAGTTTTCTATTATTAGAGCCAAGTTTGCTTTTTAAGAGGTAAAACTAAAGCAAACAACTCAGAAAGAAAAGGCCAAAACCTTTTTAGTCTCTAAACACATACTTTTTTTCTGGAAAAAAAAGTAAGTCCTTTAAACTATCTCATAAATCCAGAAAAAGTTTCATCTATGTTCAAGACCTGAGATATATATTTAGTATGACAATAAAATATGCATAGCTAAGAAATGCTGAAATTTGCTAAGACCATGCCTCAGGGCCCCTGGGAGAAACAGAAATTCACTAGTCTTGTTTCTGGGCACTCTTTCCTAAGTTGATTTTAACTAGAAGTTTCAACTGAGAGAGAAATCAATCTTTCTACTTCACAAATTCAAAACTTCAGGTTTTGTTTTGCTCTCTCTTAAACATTGCAGGCATTTCTCTCCTGCTGCCTTTCAATTTAAAACATAGAAGTTTCTTCGAAAGATTATATTACCAAAATGAAGGCTGTCATTTTGAGACTACTGGGGAAACGTGACTACATCACATAATATCATTGTTCAATGTTAGATTTCTTGAGAGCGATAACGGTACTGCGGTCACACAGGAGGATACCCTGGTTCTTAGGAAAAGTGATGAAGGGTTTTTGCAAACTGCTTTTTCACTCTCCAGAGGAACACAAAGGCACGTCTCTTTGTGTCTCTGCCTTACACCAGTGGGGCAAAACTAATAACTGGGGAACCTGGGTAAGGGGCATACAGGCATGTGCTCTACTATTCTCTCAACTTTTCTGTAGTTTTGAATTTTTTAAAATAAAAAAATTGGGAGGAATAAAAGCGAGCTTAAAATTTCAGGCAACCTGTCTAAACAGTAAGCATCCAGACAATCGCTAGGAAAAACACCATGGTGCTCAGCAGGAATAGAATTCCAGGTTTTATCTGCTTCTCTGTACAATTTCAAATCCACCACTAGAGTCCGGAGAGGTTAATTTCTTTTAGATACATGTGTAGCATAAAAGTCAGAAAGTAGACATACCTGGAGATAACAGGTGACTTGCTGCCATTCATTGTATTTGTTCTTTCCCAAGGTTTTCTTGTTGGTTCTTTAAAAATAAGGAACATAAGTTATGAAGTGCCCTACATGCTCCGAGTAATTTATTGCAAAAAAAAAATAACAAAATACTAAGTAACCTTAAATATGCTTTTGTACAGATGAAAAGTTTTTAGTTACAATTCTGAACTTTAATTAAAATCTATTAAGGATCCTAATTTGTAGATGAGAAGATATTAATAAGCAAGTGTGACGAGCCCCCAGGGAGAGCCGCAGGCCGTGAATCTCCGACAGCGGAGGCCTACAACCAGGAGGCACACCACCTCTCTAGCAGAGCAGGGCTCCCTATCAGAGACGGATGTCTCAGCTTGGGGCCCGGGTAAGCATTAGGGAGCGTAAGAGTGAAATTATGAGCAAATCTCTATAAAAATATGGTCATCCCCTCTGGCAGGGTGGGGCAGATTCATAGTTCTTAAATTGTACATGGTTCTGTGACTCTTACAGTGGAGTTCTACAGTTTTTGTGTTCTTAGTAAAAACATCTATGTTAATTTTGGCTTCTGGAAGAAAGATAAAGCTATTACAGTAAGTAGTTCATAAACCAGAAAAAAATTTTTTTTTAAAGATTTTATTTATTTATTTGTCAGAGAGAGAGAGAGAGGGAGAGTGAGCACAAGCAGATACAGTGGCAGGCAGAGGCAGAGGGAGAAGCAGGCTCCCTGCTGAGCAAGGAGTCCGATGTGGGACTCGATCCCAGGATGCTGGGATCATGACCTGAGCCGAAGGCAGCGGCTTAACCCACTGAGCCACCCAGGCATCCCAAACCAGAAAATTTTTAATGGAAGTAACATTAACAAACTGAGCTGAGTCCTATTTAGGAAAAAGTCACAATATTTACCACAGTACAGCCTTCAAAATATTGAATAATCACCATTCAATAAGGAGAATGTGAGATTCTTTTTTTCTTTCTGACAAATGGGTCGCAATCACACAAACAGACTTTTTTTTTTTTTTTTAAGAATTTTTTTTCTTTTTTTTTTTTTTTTTTTTTTTTTTTAAGAATTTCTAAACAATGGAATTCCAAAGGTCCCCGACAGTCTCCAACCGAAAATGGGTAGGAATTAACGTGGATATTTCCCTATAAAATCAAGGCCATTATAGATGTTAACTCATTGAAATTACCAAATTTATTCACATCACTTTATTTTAAATTAGATAAAAAGCTGAACAGGTAGATCTGCTCTTCGCTTTGGCCGAACACAGGGAACGGCCCCTCCCGTCCTCGTCACCGACCCCGCACCGGTCAGGTGCCTCCAAGGGCAGGTAGTTTGTTCGTATTCTACGGAACAGCCTCGCAACCTAGAGTCCTTGACATCAGAAACCTCACGGAGTTCAACACCACTTCCCCAAAGCTGTAATGAAGCCTCTTTTTTCCTTAAAAATGAGAAGTCTTAGTTCCCCGATTATCAGTATTACCCAAAGGCATGGTCAAAAGGACAGCGCTCTCCATCTGAGAATGTTCTGAAATGGACATCAGTGCTAACTGCGTGCTCACCACAACTCCACCTTTAAAATTCCGGGATTAAAAGTCCTTCCCTTTCATCTAATCATGTATGTCTCCATGCTCTAGTGAATCACCTTAAATCATCAACAGCTATACACATGGAATGTGTAAAAATTATGATTTTTGAAGACAGAATCATCAGATTCTGATCTTTGGGTTTTGACGGATCTTTTCAAATCACGAAGGCAGAGGACAAGCAAGTCGCTGCTTTTAAGGATGAACGAAAAACAACATTTCCATCACCAGGCAGGCACTTGGCTCCAACATGGGTAAATAGGGCATTTCCAGTTGAAGAGTATTAGTATTTTGAGGTTCATAAAGGTTAAAATAGAGCTCCTGAACTTACCGGGTGTACTTGTCGACGAGGCCTTAGAAGTTACAGGCTCTGACTCTTCCTAAACAGATAGGAACACTTATTAATCACACGGAGCCTACCAGAAACCTGGAGCAGAGACTCAGAGGCTCACACTCGTCCACACCTAACACACCTGCTACGTTGCCTGCCGTGCCCTTCATCAGCCCCCTCTGCCTTCCATCGAAGCCCAGACCTGCCGCCTCTGTCTTCCACAGCCCCTGTCCGGCCCCGGGCACTGCTACCGAGACAGGAGTCAGGGCACCGGAGCCCAAAGGTGGCAGGGAAGCAACAGTGCGGCGTGTCCGACAGGGGCACACAGAGTGGACTCGGGGCGGGGGCACAGCTAATAACCACGGGGCTCCCAGCGGATCAGTCTAATTCTTTCCTTTTCAACTCGAGGAAAGAGAGACCCGAAGAGACTCCGAATGCCGAGTGAAGATGCGGCACTCGCTCCCAGCTGAGCGCCGTGCTCCCCCCACTGCGGCCCCACCCTGGCCCATCTCACAGGAATGCTCTGAAAACGTGACACACCGGGCTCGAGACAGCCGTCCGTAACATGTGCAGAGCTGACATAAGAAACTGAACGTCCAGCTAATCTTGGACTTTGCTCTCCTAAAGAGCTACGCCTGGCTTTCCCATTTTCAGTTGTGGTCGACTCTCCTTATTACTTACGTTTTTGTCCTCTTTTTGTTCTGTTTCTACTGTTGATCCCTTTTCAGCAATTCTTCTCCTAGAGAGAAGGGATATCCGATTTTTAAAAATTCATCTTAGTGTAAGAACTACTCGGAAAGGGAAGAGCCACATCTAGTTACACTGCACTTGGCCTCAACGAACACAGCCCTCTCGGTCCTGAACGCATTTACACGGTTGCTCACTCACCTCCTGGCCAGCAGGGCGCTCATCTCTTCCATCAACCCACTGCCTCCTAAAGGAAGGGGTCCATTCCCACGGCCCGTGTCCGACTTCAAGGAGGCCGCGTTCACACCGACGGTAGTCCCTCCGCTTGGGAAAGAGCCATCCTCCATCTTAATGAGAATACAGACTGTGTTTAGGACCTTAATTTCAATACAAACATCCAGATATTATTTTTTAAATCTTTCTAAGAACCTGTGGCATGACTGATACTAACATTCTATTAATCAGTGGAAGTTTCATCCCAGTTTACACCAACAATAATGGGATAAAACATTATCACGTCTCCCCGTTCCCTACACTGAGGACACGTCACTGTTGTGGCAAAAAAAATGTGTAATCTGCCAAAACATGCATAATCCAAATGCAATCTTGAAGAAACTATTGGGGAAACCAAACTGAAGGGCAGGCTCCAGAGTCAGCTCTGTAGACCTCGCCCAAGTCAACCTCATGTATGAAACTGTGAGGAATTGTCCCCGATTTTTTGGCAAACTCGGGACCTCACAGCTAAATGTACCAACTGATCTCGGGCTAGAAAAGAAAAGTGCCCTAAAGGACACTGTTGGACAATACATGACATTTGAATACACTTGCAGATTAGAAGAGTCCATCAACTAAACCCCCCATTCCTAAGCACTCTCCAGTGGGCATGGAGGTCAACGTACCTGTTCCCACAGACCACACACTCCAGCGTTTAGGGAAATGGGGGTGCAATGTGTCTGACTCACTCTCAGTTCAGACAAAAAAGGGAGAGTGTGTGTGTCCCACAGAAGGAAACCCATGCACAGAGAATAATTAAGCAAATATGACAAAATGTGAAGTGGTGAGACTGGGCAGTGGGTTTACAGAAGCTGCATTCTCCTGACTTTTCTGTAAATGTAAATTAGCTCGAATTTTTTAATCAGTGAAGTAACACTGGGTTCATGAAAGGAGAAGGCAGTAAATAGGCTACCCCAGTCACCAAGGAGGAAGAGGCACAAGCAGACAGCACAGAGATGGGAAGATGCATTTACCCGGGACACTTTCCTCAGTTTCGCTCCGGCGATGGCAGCCGCAAGTCCAGTCAAAGGGCGATTGTCTTCAGACGCAGATCCGGCAAAAAATCCAGATGCAGGGAGTGGGGGAGCAGGAGGCGGAGGAGGAGGCGGGGGTGCTTGATTAGGAAGAGGGGGCGGCGGGGGCGGGGGTGGAGGCCCTGCAGCAGGGAGTGGAGGTGGAGGCGGAGGCCCCGGGTGGGGGTGCAGCACTGCTGGAGCCGGCACCGGCCCCGGAGGGAGTGGTGGGGGGGGCGGAGGTGCTGGTGGTCCCAAGACAAGGCCTGAGTGAAAGAGATGTTAAATAAGACCGTCAACAACAGAGCCGCTCGCTCGGGGCGACCTCGTGGACAGGGATGTGGGATGCCTCAAACATTTCCTGCCTATTCGGGAATTGTATTTAAAATAACGTTTAAAGTCTAGATCAGTGTTAAAAAGATACTAAAATGCAAAGCCAAGTATGTGAGGTCTTACTTTAACGTTAGAGCTTTATTAACAGAACTGTGTGACAGTCACCCAGCTCCACCTCTGGGGTTCCCAGGGTTGGGGAAGTGCTTCTAAAATCTGTGATGGAGGCAGCACCCTGAAGAAGCAAGCCTGTGCGGAGGACTGCAGTTAGGACGGATGGAAATAACAGACCCCCAAGAGTCTGTGTGAACCTGTCACTGTTGAGACCTGGAGCCTACACCTGTGAAGACCTGCATTTATGCTCTGACAGATGGCCACAGTGGCTGGACTGAGAACAGGACAGGCGGGGGGGGGGGGGGTCCCCAGTTCAGCATCTTAAAAACGTTCTGCCTTCAAATGCCATGTGTACAGAGTCACTGAAGTGAAGGGATCTACCAGAACAAATACAACCTGAAAGTAACGGCCAGAAATAATTAAATTAAATGATACAGAATTTGAAGCTCCTCCTAGTCTAGAAGACAGGTAAGAGAGAAATGTCTCCAAACCTTGTAAAAATCACAGAAGTGAACGAGAACTTATTCAGTATCAGAAGACCAAATTTAAAGGGGTATTTTAGGACAAATAAGATGCTATTCGCACATGGGGTGGTAATTTTTTTTTTTTAACTGTAAACAGCAGCAGCTCTTAGAGGAACACAGAGCAAAAGACTGCTTCTCTCCCTTGGACTATGGGCTGTAAGGGCTCAGCAGGTGGGTCACACGTGACCTTGTCAGGCTCACGGTGCCTCCCTGTCTGGCATTACTGTCGTGGGACACAAGTCCGCATGCACTAGAATTCCGACTCAGTGTTTAAGCATAACTGATGCGTCCACAAGGAAAACATATTTACACACACAGCAATAACAAGTCTTATTACTTAAGAATAAAGATTTTTTAAAGGATATTTAAATCTAGGCTATAATCCTGGTTCTATGTACAAATTAGTTGTCACGTTCCTTCCTGTAAATCCTGCTAAATCCTATCACTGCAAAAAAGGTGGGGCGCCTGGGTGGCTCAGTGGGTTAAAGCCTCTGCCTTCAGCTCAGGTCATGATCCCAGGGTCCTGGGATCAAGCCCCAAGAATCGGGCTCTCTGCTCAGCAGGGAGCCTGCTTCCTCCTCTCTCCCTGCCTGCCTCTCTGCCTACTTGTGATCTCTGTCTGTGAAATAAATAAATAAAATCTTTAAAAAAAAAAAAAAAGAAACAAAAAGAAAAAAAAGGGTTGCCAAGCATCTCCTTATTCACTTACGGAACCAGGTCCCTCTCTCCTTACAAATAATCTAAACTTAGAAGACCACGTCCTCCCTCTCCTGTTACCATGACGGCAAGTTGGGGCAAGTGGAGAGGGTGGGAGGGATAACTGCGGAAGATGCTTTTTCTCTTCCTGTCCCTTCAGGCCACGACTTCCTGTAATTCTATAGCATGGAATCGGCTGGGGCACACATCATGCCTGCCATACTCCCCCCACCCCTTGTGCAGTGTTCAGGCTGCTCCTTAGGATTCCAAGTGTACCTAGTCTAATGTGGGAAGCCCAATACAGGAGAGGCCAACATGAAACAGGGCCCAAGAATCGGAACTGTTCAGGAGACTCCAGGATCACACACGTCCTGAATTCAGTTGGGAACCAAACAGAATCTCTCAATTTCCCACAAATTAGAGGAAGACAGGTTAGGTCATGTATTTACCGTGTAGCTAAATGTGTCAAGTAACGTTTTCCTAGTGGGGTTTACAAGGGATGTGCCGCGGAGGCCCTCAAACACGGAATACCCCTCCAGCTACAACGCTGCGGGAGACACCAGACCCCAGTCAGTTCGGACACTCCTCACGCGGATCCTCCGGCTGCACTTAACCCAGCAGAAGGAGCCTCACTCCTCTGCTACTTGTTTAAATTTCAGAAAGTCGGGCACAGTGACACAGGGCTGCTCGCCTCTCCAACCCACCCCACCTCCCCACGCTTCGAGGCAGTGACATCTGCTGACACCACGTTTCCAGGACGCGTTGTCAGCAGCAAAAACGGAAGCCTTACCCTGTTGGGCTGGAGTCTCGGCCGGCTGAGAGGCTGCCTGCAAGCCTGGCTCAGAAGCAGAGGAGTCCCCCAGCACAGAGTTTAGAGGAGTCTCCGCAGAGGCAGGGGCAGCTGCAGAGGGAGAAGGGAGAACACTAGGCTTGGATGAGGGAGTTGAGGCAAGAGGGGTGCTTGGAGGAGGAGAGGCTTGAGATCCACAGTGTGAGCGCGGTGCGAGGGAAGGCAGCGGAGGCGGCGGCGGCGGCGCTGCTGGCCCTGAGGTAGGCGGCGGAGACACTGGACATGGGACAGAGTCAAGCGGCCCATTGGGTGCTGTTGGTGATGGAGGCATTGGGGGCACAGGAGAAGAAACACAAACAGGGAGGACAGGCCTGGGCCCAGTCGCTTTGCCTGGGGGGCTGCTAATCATTACTGGAGGAGATGGAGGGAGGGGCGAAACAGTGGAAGTAGACCAGGCACAGGGCTTCGCAGCTGAAGGCTGAGAGGAGGGTGTGTTCACAGGAGAAGAAGGCCGAGAGTTTTTGTTCAGAGGACGAGGAACTGTAGCGTAATGGGGAAGAACAGGGTGGAAGGCTGAACCTACAGATGCTGCAAAACGTGTCGCTGAGTGTCGAAGTGGTGGTGTAGGGGGTGTGGAAGTAGGTGGCAAAGCGGTCACTACAGCATAGTCGGGAGTGGCCTCCGACACCGGAGCTGAGATGACTTTAGCATAGGATGGAGGAGGTGCCGAAGGAGGCTGGCAACTGGCATACTCAGGAAGTGGCGCGTTATACAGGGAGCTGTCGGAGGATGGAGCTGCACAGAAGGTGGGAAGCAGCAGCAAGGACAGGATAAAAAAGGAGAGAGAAAAAGGGAGCTAGTAAAGCCACAAAACCAGCATTCAGACAAAATGTACAAATGTAGACCACAGTTAGTACCCAAGAACTAAGCACGTGTGCAAGAACTGATCTCACCCGAGAACGTGTGAACTCGTTCGTGCATTTTGAAACCCAGAGGAGGAAGAAATCTGTTTTCTATTTAGCTGATAAGTATACTGATAAATTGCTTAAGCTTATCCCTTGCAAGAACAAGACTATCTTAATTCTCATTGTTTAGCCCACTAAAAGGACATTAAAATTACAGGACCACAAACAGAAGAATACATCTGCTGGTCTTTCAAGAACAACAAATAGCGCAATTGGCAAAAAGTTTTACAAAGGGCTAGAAACCCCCTATTCAATGCTTATTTGTGGATAAGTGTTGTTTTGTCGGCTATCACCCCAGAAAATAACTAGGCAGTTAAAAACAAATATTGCAAACAACAAACCAACCAACCACACTGGGACCCACAGTGAGACCTTTGATACAGGCCATATGGAATAGAAAGATCATTCTGAAATCCTATTCCAATAAATGTCAATTTTAATGACTGACTCAAATTTTCACTTTTCTCTTAACCCTTACGTCTTTCAATAAACTCCATTGGATTTAGACATTTTCACTAAAATTTTGCAATACCAGGACATCCGTAAACTACTTCATCAGTTTTAGAGAGGGTATTTTCCTCCTTCGACAAGTCTAAGTGCCATCAAGCACATTTCTTGAATCCTATAGGATTCAGGACAGTTGAGGCAACCTCAAAAGGGAAAGAGATTCCTAGTTCACGCAACATAAAATGTTTCCCATGAAAAACACACTTGCACTTTACAGAAAGCCGGACTACAAAGAGCTTTCCTAAGTCTCCAAGCAATAAGTGCCATACAGAGAGGACTAAGAAAGTGGTAAAGTGGCAAGTGCTGCATATTTTGCCCTGTCCACCCTCCCCGCACCCAGCGCCCCATACCTGGTGCACCCCGCACCCCCAAGGCAGAGCCCGGCATGCACTTCTTACCGGCGGCCGACAGCCTGCGCTCACGCTCCCACTCCAGCTGCTCGCGCTCCAGCTGCTCCTGCCGCTCCCGCTGCTCCCGCTCACGCTCCCGCTGCTCCTGGCGCTCCCGCTGCTCCTGGCGCTCCTGGCGCTCCCGCTGCTCTCGCTCGCGGTCGATCCGCTCCAGCCGCTCCCGCTCCAGCCGATCCTGCCGCTCTCGCTCCCGCTGCTCCCGCTCCAGCTGCTCCTGCTCCAGCCGCTCGCGCTCCGCCCGCTCCACACGCTCGCGCTCCAGCTCCTTTTGTCGCTGCTGCTCTTGCAGCTGTCTGAAATGTAAAAATTTTAACAATCAGAAATATGCAACAATGGCTACTCCTCACTGACAGCACCCACTCATCCAGCTGAAGCTCTGCGCGCCTTAGTTCTGGGGCAGATACCAAGTGGAGCCTCCGATCAGCCAACGCCCACCAGTGAAGAAATGGGACCCGTCAAACAGCCAGCGTTCCAGACAGGAAAACGACTTGGCCTGATCAGCCACACACGACACCAGCGTCTCACTCTAGTCTGCACTGTTCACGAATGAAGTACTACAAATAAATGAACTCCTGCTACCGAATGCTCACTGTACAAGGAACACATCCCTTCAGCAAACACAATGGCTGGCTGCAGCCGTAGCTCCGCGGCAGTTGGCTTCTTTTACTTTTGTGCCTTGTCCCTACGGCTTTGGAAGGACCGCCACCAGCAGGTTGGCTAGGGCTGAAATGGCACCGTGTCTCAAGATTTGGATACATGGCTCCAAACTGTGTTTGGGAATGGTGACTGGGCCCACAAGCAGCCCGAGAGATGAGAGCTCCCTTTCTCCTCTCCAACACTGAACACCATCACCGTTTTTACCGGCGGCCAAGAGGCTTGCTCCCTCGGACAGCCCACACTCTGCCCTTTCAGAGCGCAGCATCTGACCCACGGCTGGATGCGCTCTGACTGGCTTGCTCCCGGGAGAGTTCAGATTCCATGCTCGTGTGAATAGCTCCTTTCTCTATTAAAGGTGATAATAACCCTTTGTCACAAACGCTGGTCGTATGTATTTTCAACTGTTATTATTGCTTTTTAGATGCCTTTGATTTTTAAAGTTTCATTTAAAACTACCATGTGTTAACTTTGTTAAAGTCGTGATCTGGCTTGTAACTTTTCCACCGAGAGTCTAATGCTGGTATTCCTTTATGTGATCTGCCTTTGCGATCTTTCTTGGCCCCTTCTCACAAGGTTATATAATTACACGTTTTTACAACAAAACTCTTAGTTCTATGAAATTCATCTTGGGTTTGGGATGTGTAATAAATACTGAGCTACATCACAGCACCATTTAGTTGCTTGTGGTCCTGATTTGGGATGCCAACTTCATGTGTCTTCACTGTTTCTGAAATTCCAGCGTGTTCTGTTGGTGGATCTGTTTGGTATGGCACCAGTTCCTTGATACTCTGACATCTGAGATAAACACCTAGTAGGGTGCAACCATCCTTATCACTCCTTTTTGAGTTTTTCTAGGTGATTTTCAGACACTCAGCTTCTTCTGGGTACATTTTGGAATCCTTTGTTAAATTTACACCTTCCACCAAGACCTAGCCTTCTCAATTCTATTAATGCTTTATTAAATTTGAAGATCAATGAGAAAAACATTCATGTATCTTAATCTCCTTGTCTAAGAATGTACGGAATGTCTCAGTATTTGTGCAATTAAATTAAAAATCTCCTTTCACTCTAGGACTTCACTCCTTCACTTCTAGAACTGATGCTAAAACGTGAGGCCCAATGTATATGGCTCTGAAACATACAGTTTAGTTTCAACTTCCACACGTATAGGTAAAAGAGCAAGCAAATGTCTCCATGTATCCAACCCAACCTCAACAATAGTCTTGGTATAAAAGTTAACTCTCCCCAAAATAAAAAATAGCCCCATCTTATATGTATTTCATAGCATTGTAGGTACGATTAAATGAAGCTCTTTAAAAAGTTCCTGGGGCATAAAAACACTCAATAAATGTGAGCTACAATGGGGAATTTCACATGTGGACTTCTCTTGGACTGGCTAATACACCGCAGGGTTCCTAGGAGAGGCACAGCTAAGTGACAGACTGTGGATGCCAGCCTTTGTCCCTCCCAGCACTACCAGGAAACCACTTTTTCTCCAGAAATCTCTCCCCTTCATGTTTCCTAAACTAACTATAAAAAGGAAAGAGGCTACTTGACAAGTGAGCCAATCCCACTTGTCTCAGAAAAGCGGAGAGGCTCTCTCTGGGCCTATCCCTGTACTTAACAGTACCTGCATGATGTGTGTGTGGGCGGGGGGGGGGGGGGGTTGGAGCCCAATGGTGGCGCTCTGTGTGAGCAGTCGCTGCGTCAGACACTGGCCACAAAATTCTAAGGCAGACCTTTAGGGTACGGTACTGACTTCGTGATCCTGGCGGACAGAGCACTGGCTGCCACAGTTTCGGAGGGGTAACAACAATATTGGTGAAGGCAAAAAATTCAGGATATTCACAAGGATGTTCTCAATAATAAATGAGAGAAGAGTTGGTTCTTTTTCTAATGACCTCTAAATAAATGAACTCAGCTAGGACTTACATTTAAAACACACCATATGTGTCAAAAAATAGGAGCACACACTATACATGTGATACTCTAAGCAAGCTACTGGGTCCAGAAGGGAAAGACACACCCGTGCTATTCTAATTACAACGCACCTGTGTACAGAAGCTGAGGGAAACTGTTTAGCTTCAGAGTGCGGCAGCTCCCCAAGAAATCTAGGACAAAATGACACAAGTTCCTAGGCCCTTTTCTGTTCCCATGCCATCTCTTTCATTTTATTCTTTTCAACACAATACAGGTACATAAAGCTTATTAACAAAAACTAACAGTTCATTGTTCCAACCTTCCCACCCATTTCCAATTACTGTCAATTCTTTTGGGACATTTCTTTGAACTTCAGACACTGCCTACAGGTAACTCCTGTAGCTCCCTCACCACACCCAAGCCTCCCCCAGCACAATCACAGGAGAACACACCTTCCTGGTGAAATCGATATTCAGAATCTATGTTATTAATACAGCTACACCGAACAGTATCCTAAGACTACACTACATTTCTCTTCTTTATTTATTTTAAGTCATCCCCACACCCAATGTGGGGCCGGAGCTCAGGCCCCTGAGGATCAAAAGTCACAAGTTCTTCCAACTGAGCCAGCCCGGTGCCCCATGCTGCATTTCCTACTGACATTCTTTGGTTTGGTTTGTTGTGTTGTTTTGTTCTTTTTACCTCACAGGACACGGCCACTTCTCTAAGCCACACATGCTTTTATCACAAAAATAAACTCAAGCCACACATAGGAAGCCAGATCTCAAAGAATTACTGCATGACGGCATTTACAGCCAGGATTCCTGATTTAGGAAGATTATTCCACACGTCAGAACGTCGTATTTATTCAAGGGTTTTCAGTCTTTCAAGATCAAGAACGTCTACTGATATAGGAAAGGAGTATGGTGCCAGAGAGATTCCCCAAGCTCATGGGTAGTGAGTGGAAGAGGCAATTCATAGAGCTGCAAGAGATTTTCTTAATTTGAAGGGGGAAAAAAAGGAGGTGATGAAACTCCCCGGTAATTTTTAGCCTGCTCCCTGAAGGGATGCACATCTAAATATATTTCCCAAAGTGGTGTGTCAGAAAGAAAATCTCAGACTTACAAATCTTTAGCAGCATGAATAATCCCCACCTTAAATGGATGATATATAAACCTGACATTCATGTTTCGACCTCTAAAGCAGGACATCTATATTATCTTTTTAAGGGGACAGTTTCCAAGTTTATAAATCTTGCTTCGCTTAGAAGCATCACTGCCGACTCACAGACAGGGAACACACGTGACTCTTCTTCCCAGAGCTACATCTACAACCGTTCTTTACTCACTGTTACAACCACCAGAAGACTTCCTCACAATACAAAGGCTTGAATTCTGAACTATGCAAGAATTCTGCCAGACTAACTCTTAAGCTAGGATATGCGTTTTACATCAACTTGGAAGTTTCTGAGAAAATATACAATTTTTCAAAGACAATTATAGGGCAAATGACCAATATTATAGCCACCAAGAGCATTTAAAAAATCATCAGAAATCGTTCCTCCCACCACCAAAATACCTATTTCCTCAAAAGAGCCATCCCCAAATGTAAAGAGATTCCCAAAGAACTAGCCAAGGATGAAGTTAAAAGCTTTTTCTTAAATATATTCAGACACAGTTTTAATTTATGTTGACTCAAATACTTTTTTTTTAAAGCAAGCAAAATATAATAAAAGTTTAAAACTAAATTTAATACGGCCTTACCTATGCAGAAGAGTGTTAGGTCAAGAACATTTAAACTTTGACACAATGAAGTAGAGGAGAGCAGATCTGGCAAACAACCTGAGTTGATAACATTTAGTAACACTACAATGTTCTTGACATTTGTCAGAAAGAAAAAATTACATGACTACGTTCTGATCACATCATATGGATATCTCACTTCTCTCTTAGCAAACCAATGGAAAGCGGACAAAACAAAACAAGACCATCAAGACATCACTCTGCGGGCCGTACTTACAGGAGGAGTCGGTCGACTCTTGGACCATCCTGCCTGTGAAGGCCGACTGGGGGGCTGTACACCCTCATTGCTGCCCACTGCCTGGTGCTGGGACAACCAGTCCCCTTTTATAACTTTCAGGTAGCCGTGCTGATCTGCTAACTATTTATAGACATTAACTAAATTGAGTTCTATGCTGAGACTAAACACAGGACTGAGTCATGTTTCTTAAATACGTTTTTCATCACTATCGAAGAAGCCAAATATTAGTAATATGAGTAGACACCAAAAGCTGATATTAACAAATGAAACAAAAATGAGTAGAAAACTAAACCATACTAACATCATGGGACGACAGGAAAGGTACGGGACTGATTAACATCCAAAGTCAACATTTGTTTCGTCAACTTGAACTCACCCTCACAGAAGTAAAATAATGAAATGTATAAAATACACGCACAGATGGGGCGCCTGGGTGGCTCAGTGGGTTGAGCCTCTGCCTTTGGCTCAAACATGATCCCGGGGTGCTGGGATCGAGCCCCGCATCGGGCTCTCTGCTCAGCGGGGAGCCTGCTTCCTCCTCTCTCTCTGCCTGCCTCTCTGCCTACTTGTGATCTCTCTCTCTGTCCAATGAATGAATAAAATCTTTAAAAAAAAAAACATACACGCACAGCAGGATGACAAAGTTTGTAACAAAACAAGAATCCCTTCCCTGGGG